AGAACAAAATGGTAAAGGGTGAACAATAAGAAAATTAAAAGTTTAATCCAGGCGGCCCAATATTGAAATAATAGGAATTCCAGAAGGAAATAATAGAAAAATGTTTCTCAGAACTGAAGAACACAAATCTCCAGATGAAAATAGTCCGCTTAGTGACCCAAACGATGCATGAAAAAAGACCAACCAAATCACATTGTTATGAAATTTCAGAAATTCAGGGATAAAGCAAAGATCCTAGAAGCTTCCAGAATAAAGAAAAAAAAGTTACCTAAAGTTACACACAGTGGATTTGGAGTGAGAATAGTGCTGGAAGCTGGAGACATGGACAGACGCCTTCCATCAGCTGAGTCAACGTGATTCTCAACCTCAAATTCTATACCCAGCCCAGCTATCACGAAGTGTGAAAGGAGAGTTAACTATTTTCAAACATGCACACTTTCTCAGGAAGTTACTCAAAGCTATGCTTTGTCAAAATGAGAAAGTAAAACATCAAAAAGGAAGACAGACATGGAATCTAAGAAACTGGATCTAACGCAGGAAAAAGCTGAAAGGAATCCCTGATACTATGCTGTAGGGAGACTCTCGGGATGTCGCCGTACACAGGCCTAGGGGCAGCTGGCCCAGACAAGAGGAGTCCAGCAGCCTTCAAGAAAAAATGACCACTGAGGCTGGATTCTGGAAATTGCACTGTGAGGTTTGTAAGAAGCTGTAGGAGTGTGTGGAAATGCTTAGTCCGAGAAAATGATATTTTAAAAAAATGGTTTAAAAAAAACAAAAAACTAAGCAAATGAAAAAAAAAATGAGACAATTATTAACTCCTGGCTGAGCAGGAAATAATATTTACATTGCATTAATAATGGGAACACTGAATATGCATTTAACGGAAATCATGTTGGGAGGATGGGGAGAAGGGGTGAGATGAGAGTGTGTGTGAAATCTAAAATTCTCACCCACTGTGATAGCAAGTCAGTAGACAACGGGTGAAATTGAGGACTCGAGAGAAAAATAAAGGTGATATTTAGTAAGACAGAGGTAAATACTGAGAAATAGCTAAGAGGGTGGGATTGCTTCTGGGACAAGGAGGGGAGCAAGGCTACAAGAGGACTGCTATTTTTTGCTATTGTAGACATTTTTAATCACGACAGTTGTCCCCTGTTATCTGCAATTTCATTTTCTGTGGTTTCAGTCAACCATGGTCCAAAAATATTAAGATATTTTGACAGAGAGAGAGAGAGAGAGAGAGAGGCCACATTCATGTAACTTTTATTACAGTATATTGTTATAATTGCTCTATTTTATTACTGGTTACTGCTGTTAATCTCTTGCTGTGTCTAATTTATAAATTAAATGTTATCACAGGTGGGTATGTATCTTATGGGGAAAATATAGTACATATACATAGGGTTCGGCACTATCTGTCGTTTAAGGCATCCCCTGGGGTTCTTGGAACACATCCCCTGAGAATAAGGTGGGACTGCTATATTGGTTTTTAAAATTTACTTGCAAACAGTACTTTGATAAAATAAAAGCAAATTAAAAATAATCGCATTAAAGATAAAAAGGAAGCCTGGAGGAGAGAGCACCAGAGAATGGGAAGGCTTAGGAGAAGGTTGCCTAGAGCAGATGATGCCTAAACCTGTTGCAGGTGAAGAGAGGGACAGAGAGCAGCCTGTGCAAAGGCCCTGGGGCGCGTGTGAAGTTCGGACTGAAGACCATGGTGCTTTAGAATGAGAGGAGGAGGGGAGGGGGGGAGATGCAGGCAGAGGCGGGCTACCTGGTCCCCTTAGGCCGCAGTAGGGACTGTGGATTTTATTTGATGAGCCCAGGTGGCCATAGGAAGGTCTCAAGGAGGTAACTGGTGTGACTTCCATTTGTAACAGACTCATTCTCCCTGCTGAGTAGCGGGTGAGGGTGGAAGCAGGAAACAGTGAGAGGTGTAGGGAAGGTAAAATTTTTCCTCTACCCTTTTAGGATTTCTGGCTGGGCCTAAGGCTTAAACTAACATGAGACAGATTAACAGGAGAAAAGCATATAAATTTATTGACATGTACAATGGGGGCCCACTCACCCCCCAATAAACAATAACAAAGACCCAAAGAAGGGACCAGGCTTATGTGCTTATACACTAGGTTGAACAAAGAATGACAATTGCGTAACTAAAAAGATAAGTTTAAAAGGTTTGTTTGTACAGATTTTTCTCGGCCTTGACTCCCACCTCTGGTATTGAGCATGTCTTTCTTCCTCCTGCTGTAGGGAGGGCATCTTTCACGCGGGCCTTTTAGCTCCTGCTTTCAGAAAGGAAAGGGGAGGTCAGAGCGCCTGTCAGCTGTTTTGTAAGTGCCTTTAGTTTAAAAAAATTGATTTGCCGGCCAGGCACGGTGGTGCACGCCTGTAGTCCTAGCACTCTGGGAGGCCAAGGCAGGAAGATCACTTGAGCTCAGGAATTCAAGACCAGCCTGAGCAAGAGCAAGACCCCATCTCTACTAAAAATAGAAAGAAATTAGCTGGACAACTAAAAATATATAGGAAAAATTAGCTGGGCATGGTGGCGTATGCCTATAGTCCCAGCTACTCGGGAGGCTGAGGCAGGAGGATCGTTTGAGCCCAGGAATTTGAGGTTGCTGGGAGCTAGGCTGACGCCACGGCACTCTACCCAGGGCGACAGAGTGAGACTCTGTCTCAAAAAAAAAAGGATTTGCCAAAGCGGCATAATTTGGGGTGACAGATCCTGAACCCCTTCAGGGGCCTGGCTCAGAGGGACATGAGGGAAGGAAGCGCAGTGGACAGGTGCGAAACCAGCGCTGCAGGTAGAGGCCGTAAGGCCTGGTGCAGGGGTGTGGAGGACACGCTGACGAGCACTGCCTTCATTTAACCTTCACAGGCACCCCCAGGGCTGTGTGGCCAGGTGGGCACGTGCTACCGAAGAGGAAAATTGAAGTTCGAAGGGGGGCTTCACGAAGTCGTGCCGCTTGATGAGGGTGGGGGGCAGAGCTGGGGCTGGAACTCCCTGCCCAGCCTCCCAGCCCTCGTCCCCCAACCTGACCCACAGGAATGAGTGAACAAATGGAAGAGGCTGGGTATACCTGGAGCGCAGGGAAACTGCAGGGAGGAGGCTGGGCCTGGCGGCAGGACTCGCCTGGTGGGCTGCAGGGGACAGCTTCACTCTGAGCGCAGTGAGCAGCCGTGGGAGAACCTTGGGCAGGGGAAGGCCAGTGCCACAGGAAGGCCACCCTCAACCCTGAGGGCCACACTCCCAGGAGCTCCTTGGAGCCCACCTACACCTCATGCATTTGTACGTACTGGGGACTGAGGCCTATGGGAAGGGCATTGCCAGGGTGCAGGGCAGGTGGAGGGATAGCGTCAAGAGGCCAGGGGGGCCCCAGGTGGAAGTGAGTGTGTCCATGGTCCTACTGTGCGCTGCCATAGCCAGGGTGGCCCCAAGGAATAGCTCATTGAGGAAAGGGGCCTAGTTGGTGCCTCGCACATAGTAGATGCTCAACAAAAACTCATTTCCTTTTCCCTCTCTTTTCTGACTGCTATCCCCTTCCCTCCTGGGGCAGGGATCAGCACAGGCCAGGACACGGTGGCCAGAGGAGAGCCCGGGGCAGAGGATCTCAGACCAGGTGGGCAATCCGGCCCTCTGCTTATTTTCATACAGCCTACAAGCTAACAATGGTTTTTGCAGATGACCGTTTGCAATTGATTTATGGTAGGAAACACTAACTTTGAACTCCAATTAAGCAAAATGTCATCCCCCAAGAGAATTCTATTCTTTTCATTAGTACGCCTGTATCACAAAACATCGTCCTCAATTATCATCATTATCCTTGGAATTTTGTCAGTTAAAAATTAGTGGAGATTTGTTTCCTCACTGCATAATGTCTTTAATTTTGCCTCTCGACCCGCAAAGCCTAAAACGTTTATTCTTTACCCTGTCCTTCTACCCCTCACCCTGCCTGGGGCTCTCCAGGTTCAGCGATCCCAGGACTAATGACCGAGCCTGGCTGCAGGGCAGGACCGTGGACTCCCAGCCCACTGCTCCCAGGCGCCCTGGGCCTCCTCTCAGCCCTGGCTGGCCCACGCCCCGCCTGGCCTGGGACACGGTGTCGCCTGGGGGCATGTGCTGCAGTGGCTTGAGGGAGCTCGGCTGGCCACATTCTCCTCTCCAACTCCCCGCGGGAGCCAAGGCCGGCGTGGGTGGCTGAAATCTCCTCGGTAACAGGGTCTGCCCCCTGCTCCCTCTCCCGCCTCCTCCCCAACCTGCACCCCCTCGCCCCGCACCTGCTCTCCGGCCCTCAGCCCCTCCTCCCGCCTCTCCTGCACCCCCCTCCTTGCTGGCTCCATGTCACCATCTGTGGCACAGTCCCTCTCTGTCACTCTCCCTGCCACCCCCTCGTTCTCCTTCCTCCCTCCTCACTCTCCATCCCTGCCTCCCTCTGCATCTCTCCCTCTCTCTCCTTTCTCCTCCTTGCCTTCTCCCTGTCAGCATCTCTCCTCACTCCCCCTCATTCTGCCTTTCCACCCACTCACCATCCTCTCTCTCTCTCCCTCTCTCTCCCGCCCTCCCCCACCTCCGACCGACCCCCTTTCCCTCTATTTCCATTGGCTTCTTACGTCCCCTGTTCTCCTCTTTTCCTCTTCACCTTGGGGAGCTTGTCCCCCACCCCCACCCCGGGCCCCTGGCTGCAGACCCCCCCATCTGTGTCCCTGGCCCCCAGGATGTATCCTGGAGATGGGGGGTGATGCACCAGGCACCGCTGGGCAGTCCAGGCCAGAGACCAGATGGGAGAGGCGCTGTGGGCAGACGGGGCGCCGAGGGCCCAGGAGGGGCCCTAGTCCACAAGCCGTCTCGAAATGGGCACCGTTTGAGTGCCCTGGCTAGGGGTGCTCTGGGGACACCTGGGCACTGGGCAGGGAGGGGGGACAGCAGAACAATAACCAGCCTGGCGGCAAGGAGGGGAGCCCTCACCCTGTGGGCAGGTAAGGCGGCTGGGGCCGGGTGGGGTCCCGGAGGGGGTGGTGCCAGAGCCCACCCTCTGCCCAGGGTGAACTTGGGAGGCTGGGGCTGGGGGCTGGCAGTGGGTGAGGAGTCCTAGGGAGGAAGGAGGAGTCCTTCCTGTGACCTCTTGGAAGGCTGCAGAAACAGGGGTATTAATCTTAGAATCTTGTGCCACCATTCTAGAATCTCGGCATCGCAGAACAGCATAATGTCAGAGCTAGAGGAAGCCAGATGCATCACGGCGTTTGGCCCCAGCTCACGTGGCAGCTCCCCCGAGCTCCCCGCCACGCGCCCGTGCTCAGCATACTCATGAATCTCAACAACGCCCCTGGAGGTGAGTGCGCTTGTCTTCATCTTAATGGGAGGAAACTGAGGTCCACGGGGGAGAGGTGACTCGTCCAAGGTCACACAGCAATTTGGCATCTCACTCTGTGGCAGAGCGAAGCCCCCAACCCAGGGCTTGTGGGGTGTGTTCCTGGGGGCCAGACCCCAGGCTTGGGTGGGAGTTAGCCAGTCGGCACTGACCAGATGAGCCGAGGCTCTCTGGGAGAAGGCCAGGGTGCAAGGACAAGCAGAAGCAGAGACCACCAAGGGCCCTCAGCCCGCATTGTCGGGGTGGTCCCAGACCTTGATTCCTCTCAGCCTGGGGCCTGTTGAGAAGCCAGCATGCCCAGGAAGTACCAATGGTTTAGGACGAATTCTGCCTTCCCACTGTCCTGCTGGTGACCTTGTGCAAGTTACTTAACCTCTCTGAGCCTCCACTTCCTTCTCTCTAAACCCCTCCTGGGCTCCATGGGGATTTCATGGTGAATTTGAAGCCTCCACCTGGGAACAATGTCCCACCCTGGAGCTCTACTTGCTGAACTGCTTGGTTGTTCGCGTTCACGGACGTTCTGGGTGGCATGCTAGGGGCTGGGGCTAAAGAAATAGATCGTTCAAGGTCCCTGTGTCCAAGAGCCAGAACTCCAGGAGGTGGGAGACAGGCAAATGGAGAGCTATCGGGTGCCTGGCATCCCCGAGGGCCTGTCCGTAATTGCTGTGGGGCTCAGGGAAGCCACTCACCCTCTCTGTGCTCTGTCCCCGCTGGAACAGTCCTTTGAGGAGTCCGCCCCCAGCTTTCAGGCAAGCTTGTGCCAAAGATAAACCAGACGGGAGGAAAAGTCCCTCCTTCCCGGGGATGAACTAGATTATGCACAGGATTCCAGCTCCTTAAAGAAAAGACGGCACGAAACTGCAGGTCTGGCTTATGCGCATGGAAAGCTGTGATTCCCCTGCTCTGGCACAGTGGCCTCTTAGACTATGACAGGGAAGACAGGCTGAGAGGAGGGCGGAGGCCGGGAGTCTCTGTGGGGCTCAGGGGTTCTAGGAGGGGCTATTTCAGCCCCCAGTACACAGGAGGGTCTGACTGGGTACACTGCGTTCCTGCCAGGGCCACGTGTGTGTCAGCATGCGTGCTCATGCATGTGGGTGCACACACGGGCCGGGCAGGGGGTGGGCTGGCCTCAGAGCTCAGCCCCGGGCTTCCCTGGGGGCATCTGTCTAGCTCCTTGCCGTTCTCTGGAGCCTGGAGCTCCTCCCCGCCCCCACTCGGAGCCCTGGGGTGCTGTACAGAGGATATGTGCATAGCACAGAGATGGGGGGCAGCGGGGGGAAGGTGGACGGTGTTGCAGGACCCTGGCCAAGGAAGTAGGACTCTAAGGTCCCAGGTTCCACAATTCTGGGTCTAAGAAGGACTGATTCTGACATTCTAGAATTCTAACATCCTCTGATTCAAGGACACTGAGTCTAAAAATCTGACTCTAAGATTCTATGACTGTTCTAAGAAGCTAAAATTCTCTTTCTCTGCCTCCAATAGTGTGAGGCTTTGGGTCCATGATCCTAATGGCTCAAGAACCCAAGGGGCAGTGTGGGGGGCTGGCTGCCGGCTGGGCTCTCGAGTGGGTGCCTTCCCTCGGCCTGGCCTCAGTTTGCTGCCCTGGGGAATGGGTGTGGAGGTGGGGAATGGTCATTAAGGGTCCTCCCAGATTTGCCCCTTCATGGGACACTGTATGACGCTGCATGTCACCAGCTTAGCCTGGAACCTGGCGCAGTCGGGGCTCAGAGCAGCTGGCAGCACTGTTAGGACGCTATAGCCTGCTGTGCAGATACTCCACCCACTGCTCCCCCCCCAGAGCTGCTGCCCCGGGCTCAGGAGAGCTGATGAGGCCTTGGGGAGAGGGGTGGATTAAGGACAGTATGGAGATGCCCCCCCAGGCTCGGAGTCCTGTCTCCTCTCCCAGACCCAGGAGCAGGGAGGGGTGCTCTGAGCCCAGCCAGCCTGGGGTGAAGTCAGAAGCCATGGCCTAGGGGTTCTTTACCATCCTCGCCACCCCCCCCACCCCCACCTGACACTCGGAGCTCTCGGCAGCCCCAGGTCCTCAGGGTAGGAGCAATCAGGTGGGCTCACCCACCCAGAGGCATTTGTTTGGAGTTGTGGGGGGTCTCTCCTTCCCAGGAGCCTTGCACCTCAAAAGTGGAGTCTGCGCAGGGCCATGCGGACTGCAGGTCTCACTGGAGGTATTTCAGGCCCAGCGTTGGTTCCGTCGGAGGGGATTAGAAGGGCTTCTCCTCTGAGAGATTTCTCAGGGGTTTCTGCAGGGAGAATCAGGACAGCCAGGAGCCAAGGGACAGGGTGGGGGGTCGTAGAAAGAAGGGGTGCGGTAGGAGGTCCAGGCCACAGAGGAGGCTCCTGTTTTCAGGCGTGCGCTTTCCCCAGCAGGGCCTGGAATTCCACCACGGCGATTCATCCCCTTGGCGCTCAGAACTGCCTGCCCCAGGTTCCTCTGAGTCATCCCAGGCGCTGGTGCGAAAGTGAGGCTGGGAGGCAGCGGGTGGAGGGGCCAGAGCCGGATAAGGCGGAGGCTCCACACTTCAGGGGATCACAGTGCAGCAGCGGGGCCGGGAAGAGGCCCAGTTCCTCATCCACCCGGGACGTGCAGCCTGCCCCACTGGCCAGGGATGGCGGCCATTCTTGTCAGCACCGTCACGTGAATTATAAATTTCTCCATCGCCAGTGGGTCTCTGGGGGAGAAGGGGCCTCGGCCGCACCCCCCAGGCGCACAGCCACCTTTCCTGGGCAGGGCCTTTGGGAGGGTGCAGTGGGATGGTCCAGACTAGGGGGGTTCCTAAGGGCTCCCAGTCCCGGGGGAGGGGACACCCCTGAGCCCGTGATTCTTAACTCCATTTGGAATCTGAGGAATCTGACACAAGCTCTGAGCTCTGCCCAAAAAAGACAGGGACGCATTAACCTTCACCTAGACTTCCGTGGGTCCCATGAAGTTCATCTGGGTGCAGGCAAAGGACCTGGGATGCGAAGCAGTATTTTTCAGATATGAAGGCTGAGACCTGTTGGTGGACCGTGCAATCCACTTACTGGAGCCCTGCCAGCCGGGGCATCACATGTAGAAAGGGCGGGTATTGGTTTATGAACGGATGTGACTTCATGTCCCACACCACACACTAGCTGCATGATAGAGAGTGGTCATTTCACCTCCCTGAGACTCGGTTTCCTCATCTGAGAAATGGGGATAGCACCACCTAGCCCTGTGGGCTGTGCAGAGCGAATGAGAGGGTGCGTGCCAAGCCCTGACCTGGGGTACGGTAGGTCTCCAAGTTCAGTGTGATGGGGGAGGGGACAGAGAAAGCCATCCTCTGTCGTGACGAGGCTGTGTCCTCCCTCCTTCAGGCCAGTAGCTGACTGCTGACCACCTTCCCTTGGCCATGGACACCCCTGGCTATCCTTCATTGGTGTCCACGACCCCGGAACCCGAGAACGCCTCCTCGGCCTGGCCCCTGAATGCCACCCTGGGAAACGTGTCGGCGGGCCCAAGCCCGGCAGGGCTGGCCGTCAGTGGTGTGTTGATCCCACTGGTCTACCTGGTGGTGTGCGTGGTGGGCCTGCTGGGCAACTCGATGGTCATCTACGTGGTCCTGCGGCACACGGCCAGCCCGTCGGTGACCAATGTCTACATCCTCAACCTGGCGCTGGCTGACGAGCTCTTCATGCTGGGACTGCCCTTCCTGGCTGCCCAGAACGCTCTGTCCTACTGGCCCTTCGGCTCCCTCATGTGCCGCCTGGTCATGGCCGTGGACGGCATCAACCAGTTCACAAGCATCTTCTGTCTCACCGTCATGAGCGTGGACCGCTACCTGGCCGTGGTGCACCCCACCCGCTCGGCCCGCTGGCGCACAGCGCCCGTGGCCCGCACAGTCAGTGCGGCAGTCTGGGTGGCCTCGGCTGTGGTGGTGCTGCCCGTGGTGGTCTTTTCGGGTGTGCCCCGTGGCATGAGCACCTGTCACATGCAGTGGCCCGAGCCGGCGGCAGCCTGGCGGGCCGGCTTCATCATCTACACGGCCGCGCTGGGCTTCTTCGGGCCGCTGCTGGTCATCTGCCTCTGCTACCTGCTCATCGTGGCGAAGGTGCGCTCGGCTGGGCGGCGGGTGTGGGCACCCTCGTGCCAGCGGCGACGGAACTCTGAGCGCAGGGTCACACGCATGGTGGTGGCCGTAGTGGCGCTCTTCGTCCTCTGCTGGATGCCCTTCTACGTGCTCAACATTGTCAACGTGGTGTGCCCGCTGCCCGAGGAGCCCGCCTTCTTCGGCCTCTACTTCCTGGTGGTGGCGCTGCCTTATGCCAACAGCTGTGCCAACCCCATCCTCTACGGCTTCCTCTCCTACCGCTTCAAGCAGGGCTTCCGCAGGGTCCTGCTGCGGCCTTCCCGCCGCGTGCGCAACCAGGAGCCCACTGTGGGGCCTCCAGAGAAGACCGAGGAGGAGGACGAGGAAGAGGATGGGGAGGAGGGTAGGGCGCAGGGGAAGGGGAAGGAGGAGAATAGCCGGGTCAGCCAGATCACACAGCCTGGCAGCAGCGGGCAGGAGCGGCCGCCCAGCAGAGCAGCTGGCAAGGAGCGGCAGTTCCTGCCCCAGGAGCCCTCAGCTGGGGAGAAGTCCAGCACGCTGCACATCAGCTACCTGTAGGGCCTGGGGAGGGCCAGAGTGGCCCGAGGAAGAGACAGGGGCCATGGGTGTGCCTGGGGCATGGAATGCCTGGGCCCGAGATGCCAGAGACCCGTGCTGGGATGTTCAGAGGCCTGGGCTCTGATCCCACTGCTGCCCGGATTTGCTGCGTGACCTTGGGTAGGTCACTTCCACTCTCTGGGCCTTGTTTCCCGCTCTGTGACTCAGGGATAGGAGTAAGCAGCCTGGATGAGCTCTGTCAGGTGAGAGGTCTGGTGGGCATCGCTGCTGGGCTGACCTTGCTGAGCGGGGCCGGGTTAAAGGCTGAGTGCAGACTGGCCTGCTTCCCAGAGACGGAGCATCCTGGGGAACCAGCCTGAATCTTGGCCCTCAGAGGCCTGGATTTCCCGGGCTCAGGGTCAGGGACACGGGAGTTGCTGGGGGCTGGGCTGGAGCCCCAAACAGAAGAAAGTCTAACCTGGGGGGAGGAGGGGGTAGAAGTGCTCAGGCCTGGGTTGGCGCTCCCCCACAGACTGTGAGGCCTTGGCCAGCTACGCTCCTCTCAGTTGTCCTCTGCCGGACAACTTGGTCACCTCTGGGCCCTCTTGGCCCAGACGCTTGGAACTGGGGCTCCTGTGCTCCTGGACATGAGGAGAAGAGGTGACCTTTCTAGGAAGCTAATTCTGTCCAGCTTCAGAGTCCCTTACTGTGTGGGCTCTTTTGAGGCCCTGCATCTGATTTTGTACTGTAATTTTGTATTCCTTTTCTTAAAGAGGGACCCCAAACTGCATAAGCCTAGGCCACCCAAAGCCTGGCTGGGGGCCCCTGGTGAGGTCAGCCACCTGATCCCTAAGGCAGGTTGCTTTGGGTCTTGTGGCTGGAATTGGGGTGGGGGCATCCTCAGGTCTTTGAAGGCTTCCAAGAGCCTCCTCACAGTGGGACCTGCCCTGTTTCTCTCCTTGCGACCTCTCTCCTCCCCTCCTGGAGACCCAGACAGGGACCCATGTGGACTGGCACGGAAAGGCAGTGTCTGAGCAGCTCTGTGAGGAGAAGGAGATAAGAGGAAGAGGAGGGAGAAGGAGCAGGAGGGAGGATGACAGATCTGTTTCTTGGAGCCATCTGCGGCCCCTGTGGGCTGAGCGCAGTTGCAGCATCTATGAACCAGAGTCGCCGAAGCCTGGCCCGACCAACGTCAAGGAGAGGCTGCACTGGGTGAGCGAACGCACAGGGCCAGGGAGTGCCAGAAAGAAGGGTTCAGGCCTTGACAGAGGACACATCGGGGGAGTGGTGAGCCCCTGGTGAGTGGGGGAACAGGCCTCCCCATCCTCTATGTTCCTGGGGGCTGCAGGTCTGGAATAGAACCACGGGGAGCAGCCACTGTCCAAGGCTGGGCCTGGACTTCCTCCCAGAGTTGTGCCCTTCAAGCCGTGGTAGGGTCTGCCCTGGCAAGGGTGGCACCTCTGCGAAATCCCTCCACCCCCATCCCCCTGCAGAGGGCAGGGGGTCCTCAGGGAAAGCACAGGAACCAGAATTTTGGAGACCTGGATCTTCAACCTGCCTCAGGATCCTTGGCTAGTCTTGGCCTCTCTGGGCCTCAGTTTCCCCATCATAAGATGGAAGTGGTTATCCCAGCTTGTCTGCCTCCTGGGACTCGGGGAGAAACAGGAGACATGCTGGGTAAACTGCCAGGCTCACTGCAATGGATGCCCTCCCCACCCCCAGGCTTGGCCTGCACCCCCACACCCCAGTTCATCAAATGGCCTCTCTGTGTCTGGCTCTTGGGGTGTGGACACTGCAAGTCATGAGAAATGGGGAGGTGGGGGTCAGAGGCCAAGGGGCAGGGAGGCAGGGCTCAGGGACAGTGCCGGACCCTCTGAGGGGAAGGGTGTTCACAAAACCAGATATTCCATGGAGATTGGGGGCTGGAGGCCCGGCCCTGGGATGTGATCTGGTGTTCCCCGGAGGAGGATCTGAACATCTGAGGGAGAAGGGACCCCTGGCATTCCAGCCTTCTCTGGCCGACACTGCCTTCCTGACTCCTGGGCAGATGAGCAATGTCCTACAAGGATAATGGGGAGGCCAGTTAGGAAATCCTTTGCTGCTTCTGCCCCTAGCTCTTGTCAATAAAGATGGTGATACACAACAGCATCGTGGCCTGGCCAATCCCTCTGCCAGACGCCGTGGGTACAGATGGGTGTGAATGTGCAGGTGTGTGTGGGCTCTGTACACCCTGGCCTCTTCATGTGTGGCCTCCCAGAGTCCAGGTCTTCCAGGGGATGTAGAAGATACCCTTGACGGGCCTGGACCCACATCCTTATAGATCTTGCTCCAAAAGCAGTAGATCTCCTTCCTCCCTATTATCTAAATAGCAAATCTCATGGAAGACAGACGATTGGCTCCAACTGGGTCACATGATGATCCCCTGGGCCAATCACCAAAGACAAGGTGATAGGGTGCCATGATTGACCAGGTGTGGGTCATGTGACTACACTGCCAGCCACAGAGAAGGTAGGGCCCAACGGGAGGTGGGCCAGGCAGCAACAACAGCACCTGGGTGTGCACAGGGTTCACTGTGTGTAGCTGCCTTTACTGGCTGTGATCATGTGTGTGTGACAGTTTGTGTGAGCACAGTGCAAGATGCACAGTAGGTGCTCAGCCATACCCATGAGTGAACGTGCACTGGGGCCTCACATGGGGCAGGGGTGCGTGGGGTGGGAGCAGAGGAACTGCTGGGGCCCGAGTGTGGTGTGGGAGTTGTCGCCTGGGCCAGGGTCCCTCCATGTGTTCCCACAGCTCCCGCTCCCCCACCACAATGGATGCCACTGCCTGTGCATCTCACGTGAACACATGTGTGTAGATGTCCTTGTCCCCCACACACGTGTGTCTGATAGCCTTGTCCCTCCCAGGGCAGGGCTATGCCTGACGTGTCGGTTTCCAGGGCCTAGCCGTGCTGGTATGGGCCTTCCGATGAGTATCTGGAACAAATGCACAAAAGGAGCCATTGCATTTCACAATTCCAGGGTACTGCACCCTGTGACTCCAGCCTCCTTTGAGATTGTACAATGTGGTGGCCCTGAATAAATGAGTGTGGGGGTATGGGGAGCCGAAGGGGCTCGTATTGGTTTTTGGGGCTAGAATCTGTGGGTTAGGGGTGCCTCAGGGGCTGTAGGGTGAGGGGAGGCTCTGTGGTCGTGAGCTTGAGCAGGGAGGGAGGGGTGGTGACAACCCACCTTGCCTGACTCCTCTTCTTCAGCCATGGAAGTTGCTCGCATTCAAGTTCTTACCTTGAACTTGTCTCTCAGAGGCGGTTGCCAGGCAACAGCCCATGGCCACCCGGCTCTGGACCAGGACTTTTTGTGTTAGCATCAGCACTATCAGGAAGGAGCTGGGAGTCTGCAGGGACATGAGCAGGGAAAGCCGAAGCCCCCAGATCTTTGGGATCCTCTTCACCTAGAAGGGGTGGGGCAGATGGAGTCCAGCGTCCCATAGGAGGTGACACCTCAGACTCCATAGGACTCCAAACACAAGAAAACACAGCAAGAAGCCCAGGCTATAAAGTTGGGGGGCACTGACCTGGAGTTGTACAAGGCCACCGTCCTGCCAAGGCCTCAGGGTACTCCCCGGCACTGGTAGGTCTGCTGGCAGGCTGCAGGGGAGATGCAGCCCCTAAAAGTCATGGGACCCACAGCCAGGAGGCCTGAGCCCTGGGCCCCACCTTGCCACAAACCTACTGCGTGGCCTTGGACCATTTATTTCACCTCTTTGGACATGATTCATTTCGTTAACAAAGGCTTTTCTGAGCACCAGCTGTATGCAAGGCCCTGCCACTGGCTGGGGGTACAGTAGAGGCGAACAACACGGTCCCACGCTCACAGTGCTCACGGCCACCACATGGTGAACGTGTCACTGTTTGTTGGGCTCGCTGGGGAGGGAAAAGCGCAATGTGCTCTGGGAGCATCAGGGGGGTCGGTGGAGCTGCAGCAGAGCCGGAGTCTGAGCCTAAGTGTGCCAGGCAGAGGGACCTGCACGTGCTAAGGCCCTGAGCATGGAGGAGCCCAGCGAGTGAGGGAAGAAGGTAGCAGTGAGATGCTTGGGGACACAGGCTGTGTCAGACGGGCCTCCTAGGGCATTAATTCCTGTGATGGGCTGAGCTATTCCCCTATTCATATGTTGAAGTCCTAAGTCCCAGTACCTTGGAAGGTGACCTTCTTTGGAAATCAGGTCATTGCAGAGGTAGGCAGTTAAGATGAGGTCATACCAGAGTAGGGAGGGTTCCTAATCCAACGTGACTGGTGTCCTTAAAAAAGGGGAGATTGGGACACAGGGAGGTGTCATGTGAACACGGAGGCGAGGATCGGAGTGATGCTTTTGCCAGCCAAGGACACCAAGGATTGCCAGCAAACACCCGGATGCCAAGAGACAGGCCGAGAGCAGCTCCTTCCCTCACGGTGCTGGGAAGGAAGCTTTGGTCTTGGACTGCCAGCCTCCAGAACTTCGAGAATAAATTTCCATTGTTAAAGTCGCCCAGTTTGTGGTACTTTGTTAAGCCGCCCGAGCAAACTAACACAATTCCTCACCTGCAAAACAGAAATCGCAGCCCCTCCTCTCCTGGGTCTCTGGGGAGACCTGCTGGATTAACCCACTCATTCCTTCATTCGGCAGCTACTGGGTGGCTGCCAACTGCAGAAGGCTGAGGGCAGAGAAGCGGAGCACAAGGCCTGTCTTCTAGAAGTCAAGGAAGTGACAGCACAGATGAGAGGTACAGAGGGCAGTTCTAAGCACACGTGGGACTGCCTAGGTTTGAATCCCGGCTGTTGTCCAGTAGCTGTTTGACTTCGAGCCAGTTAATTAACCTCTCTGTGCCTGTGTCCTCCTCTCTGAGGATGAGAGCAGTTGTCCCTATTGTTAGGAGGTTTAAATGAGTGAATACTTGTAAACTGCTTAGAAGAGTGCCTGGTGTGCCACAGGCCCTGTGTCAGTGTTAAACAGACATGGGAAGTGCTTTTGCAGAAGGAAGAATCCATCTGCGGATGGGTGGAAGCCTTCCCAGGAGGAGTTAGAGTCCAGCCAAGTGCGACAGGGGGCCAGAGTTTGTCTACAGGGAGGTGTGGGAGACTTCCCACGTCCTGATGACAGCTCTGATACTCATTTTACAGCTGAAGACAGTGGGGCCCAGGATGGTCATGTGACTTTGCCCAGGGTTACGGCACCAGGAGCAGGACCCAAAACGCTTTTTTCCCACCCCCAGGCCAGTGCCCACAATTTTTAAAAACTATGAAAACGGGGGCTGGGTGGACAGGAGTGATGCTGGGAGCGGGGAGAGCTGAGCCACTGGTGTCAGCTCCCTGGTGGCCACTGGGCCATGGCAGACAACGTCCTCAGGGAAGACTCGACAGGCAGAGGGGCAAGCCAGTCCCCACGGGGACCTCAGTCGCTTCCCGGAGGCCCAGCCACCCCCCAGCAAGCTTTGCAGCCCTGGCACGGGCCCGCCTAGCGGACCAGGGCAGTGTGCACACAGGGGTGAATGACGGGCGCACACACGTGCACACGAGTGTGCTGAGGGTGAGGCCAGCCTTCGCTTTCTCATAGGCTCAAAGACAGTGGCCAGGCCACACTCAGTGTCTTCCAGACACCTTGGGTTCTGGCTCACCCGCCCCCAGAGCCCATTTCCTCTACCACCATCTTGTTCCAGGTGGGGAAACTGAGGCCTGGGGTGAACGTGGGCTGTACCAGAGCCCTGCTGGAGAAGGTACAGGACATGGCCTCTCAGCCCTTCCACCGGCTTTAATGGCCAGCAGTGTGTCAATATTTGCTCATGGGAACTGCTGGCGCTGCACACTCAGCCCGCAAGGTCGCTCTGTCTGTGACACCATGGGTCGCCTCTTAGCTCTGCTGGGACCTTCTGCCTGCTCCTCCGAAGGGAGGGTCTCTCCCCGCTCTGGCCATAATAAACAGCAGCTATCAGGGGAAAAGGAAACACACACAACGCCCGCTTACGTGGGCGGCTGTGGCAGGTGAGCTCTTGGCACACTCAGGTTCGAACCCCAGATCCACCACTTCTTAGCTGAGTGCCTTTGAGCCAGTCTCGGAACCTCTCTGAGCCTCAGTTTCCTCATCTGTAAAATGGGCTCCACACCCCATCTCACAAGACTATCGCAGGACTGGGCCCCCCCCCAGCTGCAGGATGGCCTCAGCGAGGTCAGCGCTGTGTTCTCTGTGCCCGGCAGGGGGCGCCGCGGGACCTCAGGCCGCGCCCCCTCGCCGAGCGGCGTCCGCCCTCGGGCTCCTTTTCGCGGGCTTGATTCGGCCACACTCGGATCCGCTCGGCTTCATTCGGCTCTGCTCGGCAGCACTCGGCCACACTCGGCCAAGCTCGGCCTTGTTCGGCTCTACTCCCTGGCTTCGGGGAGTCACCCCTCTCACTTTTGCAGCCGGGAGGTTGGCGCTGGCCGCCAGTCCCATCATCCTGGCTCTGCCACTAGTCGGCCGTGGGAGGGAGACAGCTGCTGGCTCCCAGTGTCCCTGAGCCTCAGTTTCCCCCTCTAACAATGAATAGGGGCCTCGTCGGGGTGCAGAGGGCCTGGGACGGCACAGGCGCTGGCCTTCCCTGAGTCTCTGGGGGATTCAGTTTCCCGTTTTGTAAAATGTGATCCAACCCGCCCAACTTGGCCTAACGCCAGTGGGATCAGACGGAGAAACTGAATCCAGGGAGCGAAGTTCACCCGGGGCCACTGGGCTTGTCAGTGTGTCGGGGGGATTCTGCAGAACCGGGTCTGGGCCTCTGCCCGCGGGAGGGAGTGGGGAGCTTTCGGGGAGAGGGAGGGTCCTTTTGGACCCTCTGCCCACTTTGGGAGATGCTGGATTTGGGGCAAGAAGTGAGAAAATGGGCGCCCAGCCCGCCCCGCCCCTCCGTTCGCTGAGAAGGGGCTGGGGGCCGCACGGGCTGCCGGGCGCGACGGCTCTCCCCGGCAGGTGGCGCTCGCGGTGTCCTTTGTTTAAATTGATAACTGCTTGAACAATTAGATCCTTGACTCCAGGAATCATTATGTTTACTGCTCTCTTTTTTGACAGACACACATTTTTTTTTTTTTTTTTTTTGAGACAGAGTCTCACTGTGTTGCCCGGGCTAGAGTGAGTGCCGTGGCGTCAGCCTAGCTCACAGCAAGACAGGCACACATTTTGTTTGTTAACTACGTGAAGCACACGGTGCTTTGCAAGTGCTGACGGAATGTGCCTGTTTTTACACCTTCCGCTGACCCTGGGCTGCAGTGTGGCCAGATGGTACAGCACGGTGGCTGGGGCTTGTTGAGGTAGTAATTGTGCCTGCGTCAGAGCATTGGTGGAAGGATTAGATCTCAGAACAGGACCTGGAGGGAGTCAAAGCTGTCTTCTGGGAGTGGGGATGTAGGGGGTTGGCTGGAGAGATACAGGGTGCACGCCCTGGGTTTCTGGCCTTGGTGACAAGGGTGCGGGCCTTCTGCCTTGGGGTCACACCTTTGCTGAGGGGAGTTACGGCACAGTGATGAGGGCATCCTGGGCCAGCTGCTCCTCCTGGCTGTGCTGTCATCCTGGGTCCCAGGCTCCCAGCGGGGGTGTGTATGAGGAGAGTGGGCACCCCCCCATATACAGGGTTTAGCCAGAGGGCTAACCCACTGGGGGTTCCACCAGGCTGCTCAGATGGTCCTGGCTTCCTCATGTCCATCTGGCCCAGGGACAAGGCTCAGAGAGGTGAGGAAACTTGCCTGAGGTCACACAGCTAGGAGGAGGTAGAACTGAGTCATAACCCAGGTTTGTCTGCCCCAGGGCTGGAGCTCTGCCTCCAGGCCACCTGACCACTGAGGAGATCCTCAAATGGCTGGGCGACTAAGAGATGACCCACAAATGGAGGAATTTTCAGGCATGGCAAAAGACAGTGGGAGGGAAAATATCAAAGTGTAATATTCCAGAGTTCTGCTCTCTTGTCTACTCTGCCCCAGCCAGCTGCCCTGGACCAAGGCAGACAGGGGGCCCTTCTCTGGGCATCTCATGGCTGGGAGCCAAAGGAGCTGGCCCTAGAACCTGGCGAGTCACCTGCCTTTCCAGACCTCAGCCTCCTTACCTGTTAAATGAGATGAACGCGCTTCCTGCAGAGGGGTTGTGGAGTGCGGCGTGGTGCGCAGTGTGGGCACACAGCCGGCCCTGGACAAAACCATTCCTGTGGCCCCAGCCTGCTTCTCTCCATCCCCGATCCGTCTTCTCTCTCCATCCCCCTTTCCTCACAAGGCTGGGCTTTCTAAGCCCCAGGGGTCAGAGACAGCCAGGAGCTGCTCCAGCCGCTGACTCAGCCCTTTTCCTTCTGTGGCAGCAGGGAGGTGGCTCCCTCCCTCCGCAGCCCTGGCTCTGTGCCCTGGGAATGCTGCCTGGGGCAGGGCCACGTAGCGGGCAGGGCCAGTGCGGGCCTGCTGGTGTTCACGGTGGCTACGGTCCTTCGGTCTGCTCTCCTTCCGGCTCCCTTGGATCCCCGAGTAGACCTGGGCGACTCCAGGTCGGTTTGGGAAGAGAAACAGCACAAGGCTAGACGTCGGCAGGGTCTAGCTCTCATCCCAGCTCGGACTGCAGTCCCCTGTGCGACCTTGGGCCAAAGACTTGTCCTCCCTGAACCACAGTGTCCCTGGCCAAAAACACTTTGCCCAGCTCTAAGTGGTGACTGGGGTTTAGCACCCAAAGCCCCGGACTTAAGTATGTGCCCCTCAGGTCTCTGCACCCCTGTGCCTCCCTCCTCTGGGGCCGGCCCTGAACGAAAGCCTTTGCCTCGTCCCATGCTCGAGGGTGGTGGACACCCCGGTGGGCTGGAGAGCCTTCCCTCTGTAGGGTGGTGGGCTCCCCTCCCCTAGCCGTGTGGCCCTGGGCAAGGCACTTCAGCTGCCGGCTCCAGCTCCCTCTCCCAGCTGTCCCGAGGCCGGGGTGGGCTAGGTGAAATAATGGACAGAGACACCCTGTGGGGACCGAAAGCCCCTAGAGACACAGGCCTGGCCCAGGCAGTAAGTCCTAACACATGTAGAGGGGAGGGTGGGGGAGGGCGAGACACTTGTCTTTGCACAGAGATCTCTGGCCCCAGAAGCCAGGGCAAAGAGCCAGGGCTGCAGCCTTCGCCAAACTCCCCCCAGCCTCACTGGAAGGAAACTGAGGCAGGACGCTGCACAGATCCAGGGGCACGCAGGCTGCCCTGCTAGGAACTTCTTGGGCTCTAGAAGACCAGGAGGATGAACCAGTAACATTGGCAGGGTTCCGGAGAGGAGGACTTTGGTGTACATGATATGGGGGACTGACCTGGCTGCCACCCTCACACGTATGACCCGAGGAGGTCACGCCCGCTCACTCACTCAGCAGACAGGCACTGAGCCCTCCCGTGTTCCCGGCAGGAGGGACCCAGGGACTGGCCTTCTTGTTCCATTGCAGCGTGAGTGAGGTGTTACAACGGAGGAAGAAGGAGCTAGCAGGCTCCCCGTCCACACATGAAGGCACCTCTGACCCCTTCCTGCTCTGACTTTCTAGGCCTTTGAATCAAACGAGACCCCCTTGGCCCACCAAAGAGTTAAGCAAAGGAAATCCCCTCTGTCTGGCAGAGCGGAGGCCGGAGGGAGGGAGCAGGAGGAGGGGCGCTGGGAGCCAGCTCAGCCCAGCTCCCGCCCTGGCCCTTCCTCCCGCCCTCCGCCCTCCGCAGCTGGGCCTGGGGTTCTGGGCCAGCAGCCACTTAGTGCTGCTGACATGGGCCAGGGAGCCAGAGGCCCTGCAGTGGCCCAGGATCCATGAGCCAAGCGGGAGGCCGCAGGACACAAGGTGAGTGACCTGAGGCTCCTGGGACTCCTCTCCTCCCTCCTCACTTCCTGGACAAATCTGGGGCCCTGCTCTCTCCCTCTGACCTGCCAGCCTCTCAGGCTCACCCCTCCCCACTCCCTGCTGCCCCTGCAGAGCCCCCCTTGCTCCTGGCTTGTACCGCCCTGCCTGGACACACACCAGCTCAGCTCAGCTCCGCTTTCCTGGACCCTGGACTGAGAAGGTTGCCCTGCCGCCTCTCTCCCCCACAGAGGTCCCAAACCCCCAGGGGAAGCAGCGAGGACCCCAAAAGTCCCCCTGATGCCATGGTCCCTGCCTGGCACCCTCCCCCGGGGCTAGTCAGTGATCCTAGCTGTGGTTATTATTCTTATTCCTCTCATTAAAGGCTTCCTGCTTCCTGCCCCTCAGGCCAGGCTCTGTGTCTCTGAGCTTTTGACTCCCATCGGGCTGGAGCCAATGGGAAACAGAAATGTCACCAAACCATGCCAGTCCTCTGGGGGAAGTTCTGTTTCTTCCCATCCCATGCAGGCACAGGCAAGAGGTCAGAACATACTTTTTAAAAGTCTTTTGCAAGCCACGCACTTTTCCTGCACTGCAGTCCTCTCAGATAACCTGGGAAGGAGGTGGTGGTGTCATCTCCTTGCAAGTGTCAAGGAGCGGGAAGCCCAAGGAGGGTAAGCCACTAGCCATAGGTCGCACAGCCTGTAAACTGCGCTGGGATCTCAGTTCTGACTCTGAGACCTCAGCTTTTCTCATGGAGTCACATCTATGGCCAGGAAAAAGAAAGGAATTTTGCTCTTCTCGAAACCACTGAGATCTGTAGTTTACAAGTAAAAGGTGAGAATGACAACGTCAGGGAGGGAAGATGTGGCCCTCTGAGGCTGCGACCTGCAGAACCTGGAGACTCGACCAGGGTGGGCAGAGCGGAGCTAGGGAAGGGTCCCCTCCAGGAAAGGGTGGGAGGCTCTGCAGACTGCCCGCCCCCGCCTCTTATTACCGCCCAGCTGGGGGGTGGGGGGAGAGCACAGGGCTCCTGCCCCTTCAAACCCGCTCTTACCTCAGTGCTCAGTGACATAGTCTGGTATTTTTAAAAGTAATAATTGTATCTTCTCTACATGTATTAACCACAGAAAAATATTTTTGAATTGTACTAAATGTTAAAGGAGAACAAAAAGGAAATAAACAAAGAAACGCCAGAAGTGTAAAAACCAGTCTGGGTTCAAAAGCTGAGTTTCTGATTCTGCGATAACTCACCGCCAGCCCCCAAAGGCTGCCACCACCTCAAAGGCTCTTTGCCTGGCTTCCTGCCCACCAGCCCCGGGCCTGTCTCCTGAGCCTGGTGTCCAGGCTGCTTCCTGCCCCTCTCCTGGAACTCTGGATCCCTTCTTGGCCAAGGCCAAAGACAGATCCTCCCAAACCCTTGGACTTCTCTGCTCCTTTGAATTTTCCAGACCTCCTAGTCCTGCCGCCTAATTTCACTTTACCACCTTGGCAGCTGATTGGCAGGTATATGATGATTGACATAACCACCTTCCACCTTCTCTCTGGAGCTTTCCCAGCAGGGCTTCTGGGTAAGGTTGTAAAGGTTGTTGACTACACAAAGGTGCCAAAGGGCGAAGTGGGCTAGCACCAGCCCTTGCGAAGCTGCACACCCTCAGCTTTGCATTCCTCCAAAGGGGACTTCTTTTTTGTTTCTAATTTGTCCATGCAGAGGTGCATTGCCTTCTACTTGGCACAAAGGCACTGTAAAGGCTAGTGACGGCCTGCAGTCCACGACTAGTGCAGTCCACGACTCAGCACATCTGCTCCTGACCTCTCGACGATGCAGTCATAGCATCACCGTGAATAGCCCTGCTGGTTTTCTCTCGTACACGTTCTTACCGTCTGCTGGAATAAATGAACCCTCCTATCTCTCTTGTTGGAACCATGGTGTTCTCGCGCCAGAGTGTAGGCTCAGCCACACGTCCTCTCTCCTGGGAACAAGCTTGTACAATCCTTTGTGTTCGTCCCTTGTGTCCACTAATTGATGGTGGAGTCAATGCCAAGAAAACAAGCCAGAGAGGCTCGAGGGTGGGAAAAGCATTTGATGGTCTCAGTGGTTACCAGTCATGGGCAGCTGGGCCATCTTCTCACTGGCCCCAGCAAAGGCCTCCTGGGACCCTCGTCTTGGCTGTGGCTGTGCAGAGGACTTCCCCCTTCCCAGGCACGGGGGTGGCAGAAGCCTCCATGGACTGGGTGTCGGGGACGCAGTGTCCAGGCCTGCCCTGCCTCAAGTCTCCTAATGGGAACTTGCTTCCCTGTGCAGGCCTCAGTCTTCTTGTCTGTTAACTGGGGGCAATCACACTCCCTCCCGAGTTCCGTCAGGAGCGCGCTTGCTGTGGGTAGCAGCAGCCACCCTGGACATTGGCACATCACAGATGTTGAGTGAAATGTAGTTCCTGTCCCTCCTTCCTTGTTCCAGGTCGCCATGGGGATAGCCACCCTGGGTCCCCTCTGGGCTGCCCTCCTGCTCCCTCTCTTGGTGTTTGGGGTCCCCACAGAAGAGCCCACCTCCAGGGAAGCTGTGGCCTCCACCCCCACTGGGGGCTGCCAACGGTGCTGTGACTCCCTGACCCCTGCTGATGCTGCAGATGTGTCCCCAGCCTCTCCGTCCGCCCTCCCGTATGTCCTGCCTGAGGTCAGGCCCTACATTAACATCACCATCCTGAAGGGTGAGTACCTAGCCCGCCTGGTAGGGCAGGGAGGGCCAGGGGACGGGGGGAACAGGAGAACCAGCACAGAGAACTGTCCCAGACCCTCTTCCATGCACGTGGTTACTGAGTCCCCACTGTGTGGCAGGGCTGTTCTGAACGGTGAGGATGGCGCGGGAGCAAACCAGGCAAAGATGCCTACGGCCTGGGCTCCTTTCTCATGGGAGTGGGCAAGGAGCGATAAACGTATTCCCCAAGTTAATGGGGCGGAATGTTGGCTGGTGATAAATACTCCGGGGGATGCAAAGGTGGTCGGGGTGAGGGGCATTGAGAGTGCAGGTCTGGGCACAGCAGGTCTGGGCACAGGGTTGCACACTGCGTGGGGGGTGGTCAGCCTGGGCCCGGGGCAGGGTGGGCCTGGAGCGTTTCAGGAGCAGGGCGGGAGAGGTGACAGGGCTCAGACTGTGCAGGGCCTTGTCTTTATCAGCCGCAGTCAGGACTCGGGCTCCTCTGAGTGGGGTGGGGGGAACAGAGGTGGGTTTGAGCAGGGGAGAGACCTGATTGGACCTAGGTTTCAAATGGGTCCCTCTGATGTGGTGTGGACAAGAGAGGCAGGGGACAAGGGCAGGATTATGGAGCCCTGAGGGCAGTCCAGGAGAAGGCTGGCTCCCTGCTCTCCCGCACTGGGCAGGAAGCAAATCACTTCCCGTATGGGGGTTGGGAATGGCTGACGGCAGTGGCCAGGCCCTGGGCATCCTCAGCCTCTGTCTTTGCTCACAACAGCCCCGTGAGTGTGACGCTTTATCATGCCTCCCACTTTGCAGATGGGGAAACTGAGTCTCCCAGGGCAGGAGCTCTCCTGGGGTCACACAGCTGTCAGGGACAGAGCCCGGATTTGTTCCTGAGCTCTCCACAGGGCCACTCCACAGCCCCTTTCCCTCCAGGCTTCTGCCCCAAGGGCCTGTGCCCTCCTTTCTGCCCCTTCCCCACGCATGGTCCTGGGGACCTTGGGAAAGCACAGGACCTTCTAGGCCATGCAAGGGTGTGGCTGCGGCACCGTGACAGGCAGCAGGGAACTGTGTGGGGTCAGGTCCCTCCAGACGTGGGTGGCCACCTGCTTTTCTTGTGTTCGAGGCCAGCATGGACTAGGGGCCAGGCAGGGGTGTGCCTCCCTGGGGACCAGGTGCTGCCAGACCCCGGGGCAGGTCAAGGTGGGCTGGACCACGCTGGGTGAACCGTCCTGCCTCATGCTCGCGGAGTTTGCAAAGTGCTTTCCCATAGGACACTTTGTGGAGGGCTCACAAATGCCCCTGTGAGGTGGGCACGATCCTCTTCAAAATACAGACAAGAAAACCAAGACCCCGACCGTGAAATGCCTGGCTCCTAACCCGGGCTTCTCCCTCAGAAACCCACAGTGTACCCCACCATGACCCACGTCCTTGCCAGCCTGGCCTCCCGGGGACCACAGTCAGACCCTCCCTGCCGGGCGAGGGGGACAAGCTTGCTCTGGGGACGGACCAGATTCTGAGTGCCGCCCCTTCTGCTCCTGAGCTGGGTGTCCCTGGGCAAGTCATTTGACTTTTCTGTGAAGCGGAAATGGTCACGGTGTCTTCTTAGAGGGGTGCGTGGGGAGGCAACGTCTGGCATACAGCAGGTGCTCAATACACGCCAGCTCCTTCTCTGGGCCTGGGCAGGGGCAGAGCCTTCCCCAGACAAATGTGGTGTGGGGACCTCCTTGGCGCAGGCCCAGGTCCCCGCCCTGACTTCTCCCCTACTTGTCCCACAGGTGACAAAGGGGACCGAGGCCCACTGGGCACACCAGGGAAGCTGGGCAAGGAGGGTCCCCGGGGGGACCGTGGCCCACAGGGCAGCAAGGGCTCTAAGGGGCAGGCGGGCAGCCCGGGCGCCCCGTGCCAGACGCACTTCTCGGCCTTCTCGGTGGGCCGCAAGACGGCCCTGCACAGCAGCGAGGGCTTCCAGCCGCTGCTCTTTGACACGGTCTTCGTGAACCCCGACGGGCACTTCGACATGGCCGCCGGCCGCTTCGTTGCCCCCCTGCGCGGCCTCTACTTCTTCAGCCTCAACGTGCACAGCTGGAACTTCAAGGAGACCTACGTGCACGTCGTGCACAACGAGGAGGCGGCCGTCATCCTGTACGCGCAGCCCAGCGACCGCAGCATCATGCAGAGCCAGAGCGTGATGCTGGCCCTGGCGCCCGGCGACCACGTCTGGGTGCGGCTGTTCAAGCGCGAGCGTGAGAACGCTGTCTACAGCGACGACGTCGACACCTACATCACCTTCAGCGGCCACCTCATCAAGCCTGAGGACGACTGAGTGCCTCCAGGTCACCGTCCCAGAGGGGCAGCTCATGTGCCGGGTGGCCGTGGGCAGGTCCCGTCCCCTGCAGGGCTCGGATTGCATCTTGTAAGCGGGTGTGGGGTGGGCAGGTGGTCCCCAAAGACCTGGCATTCTGGGGAGGCCCCCCTACTTTCCTTACCGCCATCATCCCTCCCAAACCATTTCTGCTCCTCTCTCATATTTTGGATCTATTTTAAGAGACTTTCTACCTAAATATTCTAGATCTTTCCCAACCATGTAGCCCAGCACTTCTCACACTTCAATGTGCACGTGCATCACGTGGGGCTCTTGTTAAAATGCAGATTCTGATTTAGCATCCAGAGGGGGCCCAGGATTCTGCATTTCTAACAAGCTCCTGGGTGACGCCGATGCTATCAGTCTACGAACCACACTTGAGTAACCGCATTCTAGAACTTTCCCAACATCCCAGTACTTTCTGAACATTCTGGAATCTTCCAAACATTCTGGAATTCTCCCATTACTCTAGGACTGCCCCTCTGCCTTCTCTCTGTCTCCTCTGTGGCCACCATTCATTTCCTCACTCACCAAACGCTGAGCGTCTCTGTGCCGGCCCGGGAAGGGTGCGCTAAGGCAGACACAGCCTGCCCCTGCCCTCAGGGAGCACCTGTCCGGCCCAGGTGGGGAGACAGACGAGTACGTGGAGATTTTACGCAGACGCAGAGAGCACGCAGGGCTCTCCTGGGCGGGTCTGTGTCTGGGTGTCCAGGCGCTGCAGGTCTTTCCTAACACACTGCTCCCCGAGGTAGGGGGTATCCCCTTCCCGTTCCTCGCCCTCCTCCTGCCCAACGCCCCTCATTAAAGCAAGCCCCAGAGGGGCCTTGGCCGGGTCAAGGGTCCTGCGAGGAGAGGACTCAGGGGTTTGGAGTCATTGGGGGGTGGAGGGGGCCCCTGGGGAGTGCAGCCCGGACCCCCAGCTCCCCGCACAGCCGGCGTGGTGACCTGTGAGGACTCCTGCCCCCCACACTGGCATCCCCTCCCAGCCTCCTCCCAGGGCTCTGCCAGGGCCTTGCTCAGTCTCTCCTGCCAAAGGTCTCTGAGCCTCAGTTTCCCCAGGACTTCCAGCCACTGTCAGACACAGATGTCTGTCCCTAGGTGCTCTCTGACCCTCCTTGCCCCTCACACCAGCCCAGTGTCCCCAACTCTCCAGGCTTTATCAAGGTGCTAAGGCCCTGGTGGGCAGCTGCTGCCCACAGAGCCCTCCTCCGGCCTGGTGCTGCCCCGTATCACCGGCAGGTGATGGGCCAAGACGGAAGGCGTGAGGCTTTGAGCGCTCCTCAGGCATGGGGGCCTGAAGCAGGCAACGTTCCAGGTCATTCAGGGGCCCTCCTCTGAGCCATGTTGCCCAGAAAGGCACTGGGGGAGGGCGAGGCAAGGAGGGGACAGCAGGCCTCTGTCTCTTCTCCCTGGCGGCCCCCAGCCTTCCTCTCCCCCACCCCAGGTGGCCTGACCTTCCCAGGGAGGGGCGGCCGCCACCTATTGGTGCTTCTGCAGACTCCGGGGCAGAGGGCCCCCAGGGGGTGGTCTCTGGTGCTCACAGCCACGGGAGCCATGGCCACGTGGCCAGGTCATCGGAGCAGGGCCTGAGCCAGTGCCAGGAAGACTGGTGCAATGACCACCCCGGCCTGCCCGCGCCCCTCCCTGCTTGTCCAGCGTGATTAAAGGATGCTGTGTCCTCTTGGCGATCCAGACTGGTTCTTTCTGCTTGGGTCCCTTTGCCTGCCCTGGGAGGGTGGCTGGTCCCTCTGGGGCCAGGATCCAGGGCTGCAGAGAGAGGGAGGGCAGCCCAGGGCTCCACTCCATGTGCTCCCCACCCACAAAGAAACCAGTGCCCTCGGTCACTCACACAGCCACTCGGTCTGCTGTGCCGCTCCCTGGCCGTGACCTCGGGCAGGTCCCCACATCTCTGAGCCTCGGTTTCCTGTCTGTAAAATGGGGATGATGATAATCTACCTCATGCGGTGGCTGTGAGGATTGGTGAGGTTGCCTAGTGAGCACCACATTCACCCTGAACCAGCACCTATTGAGCACCTACTGTGTGGCACAGAGCCTGCAGCTCAGAGCACCATTTGTCACTCCCCTCGGAGAACATCCATGGACTGGCGTTCTGGGGAGGCACTCAGAAGAGTCAAACAAACCACAGGCCCTCCCCTGGGGACTCTGTCTCGTGTTTTGTGTTTCACATCTACAGGAGAACTGTTGGATACTCTCTGCAGCAAAACACGCACGACATTTTACAGCGGAACACCTTGACGGCTCCGTCTCTCTGGTATGTTGACGGTTTCTGACTTTCTAGGTCGGCCTCACGTAAATGCGAGGGCTGGCTGGAAAGTATCCAGCCATGTAATATGAAAAATAGAGACATTTACTGAAGAAGATACGAGGTACAAGAAACATCATGCATAGGACAATGACGCCTCAGTCCCCTTCTAAGTGGGCACTTTGGGACCTCACACAGCTCTCCCAGCGTCTCTTAACGTTCAGCATGCTCAGGTGTTCTGCTTGTCGCAGGCCTTCCAGAACGTGGATCTCTTTCAATAGACTCTCGACCCTCTTTGAGGCGTTTGTGCCCCACTTTTATTTGCGCCGCGCTCATTGCACCGTCCCCAAAAGCCTTCTGAATCATCCGAATAGTTTCCGCAGGAAATGCTCAAGCTTAACACAAAATGTGATGCAGAGCCTGCTCTACTCGCGCAGTCATTTAGAATGCGACGGCCACACAGTACGCATGCTCACTCAACGGCGTCTAGCGCCCACTGACCACTACAGTGACATCATCATTGTTCACGCATGCGCATCCCAGTCCACGCTCCGTGGCTGCCAGGTTACACGGAGGTGGTGCAAACCGTTCTTGTTACAGTAACAGTGGCTGGATACTTTCCGGACAGCCCTTCGTATATTTGAAGTAATGTCGCTTCTGCTGCTGAGTTGATGGGGCACCCTTCCCTGCTCCGTGTTGTTCCTGCTGTGTCTCACGGCTTTCTGGGCACCGCATGGACAAAGCACGCTACAAAGAAGCAACCATCCGCACCTGCCCAGGACTCAGCCCAGCCGGCAGCCCACCCGCAGAGGGGGACGCAGGTCTCTGTTTCCTGGGAGCCCCCCTGGCTGCCGAGGGAAGGCTTCTCACGACACCTGAGTGCCTTGTGGCTCTCAGCGAAGAGACCCTTCACGTGTCAGAGGCCACCCAGGGGAGCCATCCTGCGGCGTGCTTTTGGTCCAGGCTCTGTTTATACAAAATTGGCCTAACCAGCTCAAGCTTGGGCCCTCGGGACAAAGGCTGTCCGGAGTGCCAGCCAGGAGCCTTTGTCATGTGCAGCACAAGGACCGCGGTTTACTGATTGCTGAGGCAGCAAAGCTTTTGGAACTTCTTGCCAAGTACCTGCAGGAGGATTAAAGTTTGTCCTTTGCAAACTGAAGCCAGAACCGCCAGACATTTCTGGGCCGTATGAATTCAGGCAGCCCTTCCGGCGTCCCATCTGACCCGCTGTGAACCCTTCCTCCGGCGCGACTCAGGTGCGGCGCCCAGACTTTCTGGGCCAGCTTTTTGCACTGGATCCCAGTTCCTGACTTGGTGGCATAGCCCTGATGGGTGGTAAGAGCCACTAGATCTTTGCGATGGAACTTCTCTCAACAGGCAAGTCCTTGGTGGGGGTTGGACAAGGGCCCTTGGGAAACTGCTGCCAGGTCTGCGGGGCACAGCGTCCCCCAGGAGGTCTGCAAGGCTTAGTCCCCGCGACTTCAGCGAGCTGGTCAAATGCCCATTAGCCACCTCCAGGGTAATCCCTCCCAGTTATATGTATTTTGAAAATGACGTTCCCTCCCTGAAGTGTTAGGCATCAAGGAAGGGGATGGAGAGGAGGGCCAGGACAGGAAGCAGCCCTGGGAAATGAAAAATACCCCAGAGGGGAATCAGGGGACCTCACCTCCACTTTGCCATTGCTTTGTGGGGCGACCTGGGGCAAATGCAGGGAATAGTAAGGGGGAAAGGGTGATCGGATGGTGGCCTGAGTTAGAAACAGGTCAGGTGGCTGGTATACAGGTGGCTGAGTTGGGCATGTCCCTGGTGACCTGCTGTTTGACTAGGTGGACTGGATCCATTCCATGGGCTTGGGTAGGGTGTATCTGGAAGTCCTCAGCCTTCCTGGGAAGGGGATCTGCACAGGAGCTCCTCTGCGACATGGGAGTGTGGGGAAGGGAGTGGAGAATGCGGGTGGGGGTGATCTTAGAAGGCTTCTTAATGGAGGAAACATTTGAGAAGGGCCTTGGAGGAGGGACAGGAGTTTGAAAGGCACATGATATGGGGAAAGGGGACAATGGGAGGAAAGGGCTGGAGGTGGCCAGTGCAGCCTATGCCCTGGGCGGCGGGAGAGACCTGCATGTTAGATACTGATTGGAAGGGAGGCAGAGCGAGCAGGCAGACCACTCTGCCCTCGGCCAGGGGGAGCCCAGGCCGTGGAGGGTGAGATGGAGGCAGTGAGAGAGCCTGTGCTGTGGTCCAGGGGAGGACACGCAACGCCTGGGAACTGGGTGAATGGTGATGTCATCCTGGAGGAGAAGGTGTGTCCCCACTGGACTTCGAAGTTGGTGAGAGATTCCGCAGCAGGGGGAGGGAGGAGGGCGGCCAGGTTTGAGGCCGGGGGATGTCCAGCTTGGATAAAGGGTCTGCCAGGCTCTGTTACTCCTGCAAGAATTTTCTCTGACAGTCAGAAGTGAGTGGGCCTGGGTGCCAGGAGGTGGCTTCCTGTCCTAGCTCTGCCCAGGAGGTTACTTGCTTGGCTGGAGGACCGAGGATGCTGGGTGACTTGTTCAGCCTCTTTGGGCCTCCACATTGTCCATCTGTAACGTCAGATTCAAAATCCTTTTTCTGGCCGGGCGCGGTGGCTCACGCCTGTAATCCTAGCACTCTGGGAGGCCGAGGCGGGCGGATTGTTTGAGCTCAGGAGTTTGAAACCAGCCTGAGCAAGAGCAAGACCCCGTCTCTACTAAAAATAGAAAGAAATTAATTGGACAACTAAAAATGTATAGAAAAAACTAGCTGGGCATGGTGGCGCATGCCTGTAGTCCCAGCTACTCGGGAGGCTGAGGCAGGAGGATGGCTTGAGCCCAGGAGTTTGAGGTTGCTGTGCAACACAGTGAGACTCTGTCTCAAAAAAAAAAAAAAAAAATCCTTTTCTCTTACCCCACCAAGGATATGGGGGGGGGTCACTACATTTTCTGAACCCCAAACCAGGGCCTGTCGGGGAGTGGCAATGGGCAGCAAGTGTGAAATTAGTGCCGGTTGTCCCAGAAAATACGAAGTGCATGCTGGAGAAGATTGAGGGGAGGGGTGAGCGCTCAGACTGCAGAGTGCACAGTCCACGGGCTCCCCAGAACAGCTCCTGGCGGAGAGCACGACATCATTTTTCCTGTAGTGTGACCGGGGCTTGTTGCTTCCTCTCTGCGAGTCTCGGTTTGTTCCGACCGAGGATTGAGTGTGATGACGTGTCTGTGCACTAGCAGTGTCTGGCACGCAGCAGTGCTCAGACAGCGTTTCCCCGTGAATGACTGTCACTGAGCACGGGCCCTGTCCTCTCCCCTTCTCGTCCTCTGCTCGGCAGGCCCGTGACAGTAGCCACATATGCCACGCGTGCGTCTGGAGGAAAGGGAGAAACATAAGCAGGAACTTAACGCGAGCAGAAACAGATGGCAAGAACATTATGGGGGAGGCCAGAGAGGAAGGAGGGATTTCCAGGACACGAGTCGGGAGTGCTCAGGGCTAAGCCGTGTGGCTTTGGAGCAGCTGGCCCCCAAGGCCAGGCGACAGGAGGCTGGGGGTCAGGACCAGGCCAGGGCTGTAGCACAGGGTCGCGATGGGTGGAGGGAGTCATGGGGGAGGGGTCCAGGCACGTGGCTGCAGCAGGTGATCCCCAGCCTGTCAGTAGCAGGGTGGGCTGGGGGATCCTGGCAGTGGCTGACCTCCGTCTGGGTGACTGCAACCCAACCCCGGGGGGATGAGCTGACCCACAAACTCGGACGGACACAAAATGGACCGTGCTTTATCTCTCCGAGTCAGCTTCACTTCCATGAGGCATTCCCAGCGGCTGAAGTTGAGGAAATGTGATCTGGGCCAGCTGGGATTGCTCCCTGCCACGTTTCCCGCAGCTGCATGTACGTGCCCCTCCCTGGCAGCGGGGAGGAGCCACCGGGCACTCCCACGTCCACGTGTCATCTGCAGAATTTGGTAACATCCCAGAAGCTCCGGGCTCCTGGTTCTGCTCTCGTACCTGCTGAATCACGCTCATTCCTGCAGATCCTCCTGGGTCCTCGTGCCTCTCAGGACGCCCGGGTCCTGGCTGCACACACGCTTACCTCATAGATTCCTTGTCTCTCTCAGGGCTGGGCCCGGATGCGGCATGGGGCCATGTCTTCCCTGGGGTCTCAGCCACCTTCCTGGGGTTCTGTCCAGGTAGAGGAGAATGGCTCCTCTGAAGCTTAGATGCCCTGCCGGTGGGGGTGGGGGGTTCAACCTGGAGAGGAAAGGACAGGATCACTGTGGCCAGGAACCCCAACACCAACCTCTGCGGCCCCCCAGGGGACATCTTGAGCTGCCCTGAGTGCTGGGGGGAGGGCACCGTGAGTGCCAGCTCAGCCTTCGTCTCCCCAAGCTCGTGGCTGAGCTCCCGAGTT